ATGGTGAAATAACAGCACGGTTAGAACGCTTCTCAACCAATCAGCTTGCGTGGACGGAACTAACTGTTGTATAATTCCTACTAACCTTGAGTTTTAAGACCGGTTTGGTCAGATTCATCTGATGTACAGAATTTATGAATACTGTATTTCTTGATGATCACTTAAGAACAGCAACATGAGCGCCCAGAATTGTCGGGTCATTCTTTTTACACATTTTATATGTGCAGCTGTCATATTCATATTCCATGCAGTGTTCAGGAAAGTTCCCAGCTCTTGGCATTCTGTTAAATAAATAAATCCATAAACAATAAAAGAACTTCAGAGTGTCTGAAGAACATGATCTAAAGGAAACAGGTTTCATCTGACTGCTTTGGAACATCTCTCTTGCATTTTGATGAACTGAAATTGAAGAAAGAAAGCTTGAAAAACGCACTTTTTTGAAATGCGGCACGTATTGACCCACTAGAATGGACTTTTTAACATGTAACTCTTCTGAGAATTCCATGTTCATGTTACTTGTTTATGTGCTTTGCTTTGATTTACCAATTATTGCAACTCAATGAATTGGTGTTACATTCACATTCAATGCATCTGCTGTTTGTTTCAGGAGGGTCCCACAGGGTGCCATGTCTTATTCACAACATCCTGACAATGAGCCACACCCCTCAAAGACCAAATGTTTAACACAAAAACACGGAGTTTAGCGAGACAACACAACGTAATGTGTGACATGGCATAACTCTGTCTGTGTGACTGCAGTGTGAAGTACAATTATGCCAAATACACGTTTGAACGACCCCTCAGAGCATTGCGACTTTGAAGCTGTCTTACAGAAAACAGCATGCTGTTCTTTATCCTGGTATCTTTCTGATTCATATCAATAAACATGAAACTATAATAATATTCACTGGAGGCCGGATCATTGGGGTGTGTCATTTCTCTGTAAGACAGTCTGCACATAATCCAGTTCACTCTCTGGATGTAGAAATGTGCCAGCTCTGACAAACGAGGATTACCCGTACATGTATACAGAGCTTTCTGCAGTCAGATGAGAACAGTCTCTCAGTTTACTGACCATTATTTATATAATTATTTAGTAAATGTCATATTTCATGATTACATAAACTCTTATCAAATATTGATATGTGTGGTATGTTTAACCAAAGGCCAGAACCAATAACCCTTCAAACATGCAGTCATATGCCACAGTGCAGTCATAATCCCAGAGAGACACATTTCAATGCACTGCAGTGGTTAAGAGGCACACAGTTCTCTCTTATACTGCCATCAGTAAACAATAGCAATGACGCTAGAATAAAATGAGCTCACTTTGCTGTGCTTATGGATTATGTGATTCAGTTGTCCAATATTTCCTTAAGTAGCAAGAGATAAAATATATGAGTAAAATTTCCTCATTTATTACTGACATAAAGTATACTGACATGTGGTTGATATTAGGTAGATGGTAAACAGTTCCAATATTCTGCACAAGGACTTTATACGCAACTATCAACTATCCAGCCTGGCTAGAAACGTTTATCTGATTTAAGTAGGTAATCAGACGTGGATATGGGACGCATGAAACGACAGGTGTAATTATACTTGAATTTAAAGAGGAATTCCACTGATTTTCCAAACATTCGGCGTACTGAAGTGTTTAAAATGTAAATGAAGTCATTCTGAGAGGTTGGTTGTGAACTTAAATTCTAGAGAAACATACTGAGTCAGAATTGTTCACAGTGGTGGTGATAGGAGCCAGAGATCTGGAGAGCTTATGTCTCTAAAAGCTACATCACACAAACTTAGTATACTAAATGGGATATGCTGCTCGATACCTGAGACTGCCTGAGATTGTTTAAGATAGTTTTGAGAGAAGGTTTTGCCCACGTATGTCTTTAAATCTACGGAGGAGGAGTACATGCAGGACGCTGTAAGGAAAAATAGTCACTTCAAACATTACACCTTAGAAATTTTGCGCCAGGCATACACTGTATGATTTTTACCCGTTTTTAAACAAACACAATCCCAACCACTTCCCAAATAAGGGGGGTAGCAAAACGGAGGCGAACAAGTGGACATTTGCGTTTGTGCCATATATGCTAACTTTGACTGAAAAGAGTTATGAGGTAAAAATGTTAGTACTGTGATTTTTTTTCAACTGTCTGTAAACAGTCCAGACTGGGGCTGGGTTGTCTGTGACTAGCTGTGTCCACCAGAGGGAGGCAGAGAGTTCCTCCCTAAGGTGAGCTCTCCTTCAGCCTGGCACCCCGGCTTCAGTTCACACTGCCACGTGCAGATGCCTCGCGACCAAACCAGCAATCTTTATTAATAAGTAATAAGTAGATTACTCATTAAGGTATTGGTATCAGTGAGGACTAAAAAGCATGTACGTTAAGCATGCAGTTTTTAGACTGAGGAATTGACTTGTGGGCCTATGGAATTACACAGTTTCTTATGGATTTCCTACGGAAAGAAGCGATTTGTATCTGAAATTCAGCCACAAGCGACACAGGTGACAGACAACCAGTGACAAATTGTTTTGAGATTTTCTGAAAATGAATTGTGCCACAGTGAAACAACAATCTAATGGACTGGCTCCAACAATTTCCTCAAACAAACAGTAGACATAGGAGTCCCCAGTCTTTATTCTCTGACTTTTATGTTCCTACCAGCATTTGTTCCTATTCCCAGTAGTATCATGCAAAACTTAAAAATACATAACTGTGGTTTATATTTTAAACAAAACGGTGGTACATAAATGGAAGCTGAGCAGGGTGCAAGGCCACATGTAACAAGAGGAGCTTTGAACACACCCACAAGACACAGGCTTGGAGTGACGTGAGCGACCTAATGTGAACGTATGGTTAGGGTTAAAGGAATTAACTTCCGCGGAGTTAAAAAAGGGCTTATTCAAGATGAGATGCGCCTCACATTGGTGGTTGGCGAGAGTAGGTGGTTGCAAATAGGGGAGGCCTGAAGAAGAAACCCAGAAAGAAAGAAACTAGACTCCAGGCATGGATGAGTATCCAATTTTCTGCCTAGAGGAGGCATTTTTGCTTACTGACTGACAACTTCGTTTAAATGTGCATGTGCCAGGAGTGTAGGTGGTGGTAGAGTGCCCTAAGTTGGCCTGCCGACCATCAAGCACTCAAGCCCCAAGTGCCGAAGAGGGGCAAGAGGCTAAGTTGGCACCTGAGCTTAAAAATTCGAACAAGAAGCTGACTTAAGCTTAATAGTTTTGATGCTGGTAGCATTTTTGATAAAGTGATTTGAGCTAGCAAAATATCCAACCTACAGTTTTATGTACAGGCCACCTATAAATATGCACTAGGGTGGAACATTTTTACAAAGTAGCACAATTCATCAGAACAGCGCATGTTAAATTGGCTATAGCTGAGAGCGAGCTGCAGGAAACAAAGGGAAAAACACATGGTGAACTTTAGGTGTGGTGTAGCTGAGTTAATCACTAGGGATGGGCATTTGTTATTCAATATGTTCAAATATTTGACTTCATACTACCCTCTTTCCAAAAGAAGTTGGGACACTGTGCAAAATGTAAATATAAACAGAATGCAATGATGCAACACAGTGGTAAACATGTCCCTGTCACAACTATTTCGAAACATGTTGCTGGAATCAAATTCAAATAGGCATATATTTTTCAAAAAACAATAAAACTTCTCATTTCAACATTTGATATGTTGCCTTTGTAGTATTTTCAATTAAATATAGGATTTACATGATTTGAACAGCGTCCTAGCTTTTTTGGAAACAGGGTTGTAATAATAATACTGAATCTGTAAGTGTGGGGTGTGGGGTTTGAGGAGTGTCATGTACTGAAGACTGTGCCCCCTCAATTTTAAAATGCCTGCTATGCCTCTATCATTTTTTTAACAAAAGTCGCAGAGGCGAAAGCGTGCAGCCTGGTGGTCTGGCAAAACTAGGCTAGTCTTGTTTGAAAATGGTCAATTAAATATACAGTGCAGGCAATTTCCCAACTCATATAAACAATGAGTGCATTTACATGCACTCAATAATCTGATCATAATCGGATTTCTGTAGTTATCTGATTATTCAAATGGTCATGTAAACAGCATAATCCAATTTCTTAAATCAGAGTAAGGTCTAGAAATACAATTAAGAAATCTGATAAAGAGAGCTGGGTTCTAGCTCAGTAATCAGATTTATCAGTGCATGAAAACTCTTACTCTGATTTCTTTCAGATTTCTCAGTCTGCGCATGTGTGAAACAGACCACGGTACAGGAAATAAGCGAGCAGAGTTGCCGCAAGATGGTAGCAAAACACTTTTGGAGCGACACTGAAACCAAATACATGCTTGATGAAATGAAGGATTTAAGCATTCTTCATCTTCTAGATGATGCATGTTCATATTTTCAGGTAAAGTGGCGCATCAAGTTTGAGGTTTACGTCATGTTTACGTCACATTTTCTTCTGTGAGTTTATTGGCTGGTTGCAAAGCAGAAATCGGATTACTGTCTGACTCATGTAGACCATGTGTTTCCCCATTATCTGATTATTCAAGTGTATATAAACACGTTGATTACTGACAAACAACAGTTATCGAGTTTTAAGGGCATGCAAACATACTCGTTGTTTTCATATCACTAATGTTAAAGCCAATATTCCTTTTTCACTTAGCCAGATCAAACAAAATGTATTTTAAAAAGTACAGGAACTTCGCCGGTAACACTGGACAACTACAGAATTTGTTTATGATGAACTCCTAACTCCTGTTGTAGTTGTAATTACAAAAGATGTTATATCCCACTCCTCACCACTGAACACTGGCACCAGTCAGGGTTGCCCCCTGTCCTCTTTCGGTTTTTTGAGTTCTTAGCCGTTCTATTTGCTCTCTGGCTGCATAGGACTGAGTCTGTTATTCATGATCAGAGTAAACAGCAACTGCCATTGTGTTTAATCAACATCAGTAACTCTGGGGCCACGCCCAATTAAGACTCCTTAAAACCCCTGTCAGATTAGATCCGGACACTTGCTGAACTTCAGGTTACTGTCACTTCGGACACAACCATGGTAAGTTCACACTCATCATTGTTCTCCAATTGTTTCATAATGCCTGTGCTGCGTATAGCACTTAAAACATATTTCTTCATTTATTAAATGTATTAAATTCTAAAGGTGCATAGCTTTTGGTAAAGTATTGAAAGTGAGAGTTCCCAAAAGGTTCTCCATCTGATTTGACACTCATATTCAATCTTATACTGAACCAGTAGAGGTTTGTGTTTGTAATATTCACTATCTTTTTGCTTTGATGTTAAAGAGGTCTGCAGTGCTGGTTTTGGGTCTGTGTGCCCTTTTCCCCCTGTTTTGCGGTGCCTGCTTTATAAGTCTGCTGGAAAAAGGTATACGCAACTGACACACCGAACTGACTGACAATCTGAATTACGCTAAATTAACGTTGCCATTTTGTCTCTGAACTCTTATCGCTTGTTTCACTCTGCTGTGTTGTTAAAGGTGCCACACATTGTCAGGATGAGACTGATAAAACCTGGCATGCAGTCGGATCCTCCTGGAGAAACAGCGAATGTTTTGAATGTTCATGCGAGCCCAACTTAATGAGCTGTTGCGAGAGGTAAATGTACATTTTGCAAATATTTTTTAGGCCGATTAGAAAGCAGAACCATGGAACCAACACACTTCATATCATGTTAAAGGAGGGAGAAAACAATGCATTTAGCTTAAAACCTGGTAAACTCTGGAAAACCCTTTACAAATGAATGCACCTTAACTCACAGTTATCACCAGCAGTAACAAAACACTGCTGTCACAACAAAACCTCATATCTCCAAAATGGTAACTTTACAGGAGAAGGAAAAAACATACTTTACTTTTAATGTATTTTTTTCCAAGTCATTTTGGGTTATTTCTTTTAGTCCATTCATCATGAAATTTAAACACAATGTAAAGGGCAACTTTTAAATTATGTCAAAAATGAAAATACAAGGTTTTGTTCCAACAGCAGCGAAAAGCATATCATTTGGTATAAATTATTTCTCACTTGTGCCTTATAGAATCATGCTGAGAAATTTAAATGAATTATTAAATGTAATAATATAGCGAAATAAAAGTAATTACTGTTGAGATCTAATGGTTGAAGCATATACTGGGATTAAAAATGGAAAAAATAACATCTGTATGCACTGTATGTGGATGTTTAGGTCACAATTGGCCCGTGAATGTGGAGCCGTTTGTGTAGGATGTTTATGTATATTGTCACTCTAAGAACAAACCCTTGTAGTTAATATAACAACGTTGTATTTTAAGTGATCAATAATCCGATCATAATCGGATTTCTGCGGTTATTCGTTGATTATTCAAATGATTATGTAAACAGCATATTCCGATTTCTTAGATTGGAGTAAGGTCTAGAAATCCAATAAAGAAATCCAATAAAGAAAGCTGTATTTTAGCTCAGTAATCAGAAAACAGAAAACAGACGGCCGATACCAGAAATAAGCAATCAGCGTTGCCGCAAGACGCAGCAAAACACTTTTGGAGTGACACCGAAACCAACTACATGCTTGACAAAATGACGGATTTAAATAGTCTTCATCCTCTAGATGATGTATGTTCATATTTTCAACTGGGGCAATGTTTTTTAAGAAAAAAAAAAGCCGCAGCATGAAGTTTAAATTTAACTTTACGCTCACATCACGTCTTCTTCTGTGAGTTTATTGGCTGGTTGCAAAGCAGAAATCTGATTACTGCCTGACTCATGTAGACCTGAAGTTTCCAATTATCTGATAACTCAAGTGCATGTAAACGCGGATCAGATTACTGACAAAATCTGATTTTCTGCAGTTATCGGGTTATTAAATCCATGTGAACACTCACTGTTGAACTGTTTCTGCTGGTCAATTTGCCATGAAATGTTGACACAGTGTGAAGGGCAGCTGGCATTTCAAGTTATCTAATTAAAGAGAAAGGAAAACAACAAAAATGGAGACCCAAGGTTTTGTTCTGACAGAGACCGATGTGTAATACAGCAATTCATCTACAGCTGTTTACTATTAGTGATAGTCTCATATACACGTGTATCAAATCTGAATGCATGTTTCTTCTCATCAGAGGTTTTCTTTTTGTTTTTTTCAGCCTGTCAACAGTCACAGGTTATCCTGACGACTGCGTTGTGGAGTATGATTACGCCAAATGCACGTTTGAAGTCGTCAAGAAGAACGACCCCTCGGAACATTGCGATTTCGAAGCTGTATTAAAGTAACTCTGTCAGTGGACAGCAATAAAATCATCGCCTGACAGAAAACAGCATGCTGTTCTTTATCCTGGTATCTTTCTGATTCATATCAATTGATATGAAATATTAATAAAATTCATTGGAGATCTGATCATTGGGGTGTGTCATTTCTCTGTAAGCCAGTCTGTTTGCACAGTTCTGAATGTAGAAATGTGCCAGCTCTGGCAAATGAAGATTACCAGTACATGCATACATACAGAATAGTCTTTGAGTTTGCTAACCCGTATTTGTATTGAATATTTAAAACTTCATATTTTGTATTTACATAAACTATAATCAAATACTGATATATGTTTGCTATATTTAATCACAGGCTAAAACCAACAACCCTTCAAGCATGCGGTCAGGAACCTGCTGTGCTTGTGAATTCAGTTGACTTTAAAACAAATATTTCCTTAAGTAGCAGGAGATTAAATATATATGAGTAATATTTCCTCATTTATTACTGACAAAGTATACAGACATCTGGGTGATGTAAGATTAATGGTTAACAGTTCCAAAATTCTGCATACGGGCTTCATACGCAACTATCAGCACAGTGTAAGCGAGACGCTGTATTGTAAATGTGAAGTTCTGCAGAAGTCAAACTTTTCATACTTAATGTCAACAGACTTTGTGTACCAGGCTGGAAATGTTTCTCTGATTTAAGTTACTGCAAAGCAAACATCCTTGTTTGACTATGATAACCTATGCTTAGTGGTTTGCTTAAGGTGTGAATCCTCTAGAATGTTTTTCAGAGCTCTGCCAAGTTAAGGACAATGCCAACACACACATTTTCTAAGCCACTCATCCTCTGAGGTCATGGGGAGTGCTGGAACCTGTCCCAGCACCCACTGGACAAAAGGTAGGACACACCTTGGACAGGTCGTAAGTCTATCACAGGGCAGACGCACAGACATACACATTCACACAGAAAGGAGCCTGGTCGCCCGGCCGGGGAATCAAACCCAGGCCTTTCTTGTTGTGATGCAACAGCGCCACCAGGCCGTCCCCGAATGATAATAATCCACTATAAAGCTTAAGTCTATATTTGTTTATACTGTTCATACTTTATCTAATCATCCGAGGGCCAGGAGAAGACTGTGCTTTTTTGCAGGTGCTGAATGGGTTCATAGTTTCACACCCAGTCAAATATAATCCCAAAAAAGTCTTCTGGAATTATTTCCCTTTGAGTTTCATGTTTAAAATGCTGCACACACATTATATATATATATATAGTTTTCTAAATGGTTCTAAATGGTTAGGTTATCAGCTCTAAGAAAGGTCTTTCATTAGTATAGAAACTTTACACTTTATAGAGGTTTTTTACACTTTGAAAAGGTTCTTCACACTGACATCTCATTTATAGAAAAATCAATCGATTTGAACCAAAAGCAGTTCTTCTATGGAATCACCCTTTTAGGCACCATTATTTTTGAGAGTGTATGAAATACCATAAGCGACGTGAAAAACTTGAGCTTGAGGTTTCTTTCTTTAGCTCTTATGAAAAGCATCACTGAATAAAACAAAATTTCTGGCACTGCATCATCAAGAGATTCTAGAAAGCAGAACTGATACTGATTTCTGTACGTCTAACAGAGATTCATTTATGTGGCCAGATGTAAATAGAATGTGAATACGCTTTATCTAAATATTATCTAGATATGGGATGCATGAAATATTATATTACTATTATTAATATACTTGAAATTGAAATGGAATTCTGCTGATTTTTCAAACAGTTTGCATAATGAAGAGTTTAAAATGTAAACAAAGTAATTCTGAGTGGTTTGGTGTGAGAAACGTACAGAGTCAGAATTGTTCACGGTGATGGTGATATGAAAGCGTCTCCGAAAAAGTTCGGATTTGGGCCATTTTTACCTGCTGCGTAAACGTAGCCCTAGAGCCTTCCTGGCAGAACTTTCGCTAAAGCTTCCATTTCCATAAAGATTTGGCATCGTAAAATGTGTGCTGCAGTTGTTTGCAGTAAACTTTCTTTATTCACTAATACAAAACTGGCATCATTGTTCAGGGAACACAAATATATAATAATTGAGCAGTCAGCATAAGAAAGTATAGCTATTGAGGCCATGAGTACATATGTCTCCCTTAAATTTGCACTTTGGAATGTCCATATGCATGAGTTGTAAATAAAAAGGAAAATCCATTAGGGCTTGTTTGTAAGTGAGTCTAATAAAATGTAGGTACTTAAAGTTTCTTTTCTTGCTCTGTTCTTCACTTCATACTCTTCTAATGGGTGACCTCTATTTAAGTTCTTCTGCAATATAGTGTTCACATTTTAACATAAGCTAAAGGTTATACTATTTTTTCTACTATTGAACGGTTTTCCAGACCAAGATTAATCCTAAACCTAGATGATCAACAATTTGTACAGTTGACAATAGAATTAAGGGTTATATTTCAAAATGCTTGCGTTAAAAAGATCCTTACAGATTCATATTTATAGGGGTCTTCACGTTGTATAGCCATTTTATTTACTATCCAACACCACCAGTAAACCTACATGTGATTTTTTTCATATGTAATGTTAATGATGGTAAAATAGTGATAAATCTGAAATATGAAGTTTTCTATGAATGCTACTTCGTCTTTCAGCAACCTATATTGTTTTAAAACCATGAATGGTTTTAAAATATGTTTTAGACCAAAACTATTGTAAAACAATGTCTCAGACAATGTATCAGATAACGTATTCATAAGCACTTCTTTACTAACTTTCTGTGAGGGAGCTTTTGGAGGCCTTAAAATCTTCAGATGTCTGGTTCCTATCACCACCACTATAAACAATTCTGACTAGGCAAGTTTTCCTAGAGCAGAGCATTTCACACTTAACCACTTAATTATGACTGATCTTAACCATTTAATTATGTAGCAATTTTGAAAAATCAGAGGAATTCCCCTTTAAAGACAAAAGCTGCATCTCAATCCACAGGCATCCCCATTAGTGGTACATTCATTAGTGTAGTGTAGTGTAATATAGTGTATTCATTAGTATGTGACTTGAGATGCAGCCTAAATGTAATCCATGAAAACCACAAAAAAAAACCACATTAAACACATACAGCTTTTAATAGAGGCTATGAATTATTTTCTCCACTTGCCAGTTTTTAGAACCTCAGAAACTTGATTTGCATGGTTAAGACCAAACAGCATTTAAAAAAGAGACCAAAAACATTTTAACTGAAGATTTATAAAGTAATTAGAATGAGATATTCATTTCATAACTCTGTGATTTTAGCTACTTGACCACTAGTCAGTGCTGCTGTGTGCCCATAGATGGCACTAGTCCTACACTGCACAGACATTTTCTGTATTTTCTGTCTTAGACAAAGATGGAAAGTTTCAGTGTGGAGTTAAAGGCTTGGAGACAGTGCCATCTGATGCACAAGCACACACGCATTCTCTCCCTCTCTCTCTCTCTCTTCCTTCTAATGGTGAGGAATAGAGTAACAGGGGCAGTGAAAAGTGTGTCAGACTCTTGACTTCTAGTGCATCTCTGTTTACATGTGTGCATTTGCCTGGTAGTTGTTTTTTGTTTTGGTTTTGCTTTTTTTTCCCCCACTGAAATGTAAATGGGAATCAGTTTCACGTCACCCTCCTGGACACTGAAAGCATCTGTTTTTTTCCCTCTTTAGGACACCAGCCATAAAAGTTTCCAGGACCTTTAAATGCTGACAAAAGCTTTTCTTTTCAAGGATGGTTTAGGAAGATAACACTGGCAGGACTGTAGCAAGGATTATCTGCAGCAAAGAAGCCACTGTCTGGAACACTTATCTTCATTTTTCTTCTCATGGTTCGAGCTTTGGTTTTTCTTTGTTGCTGACTGACTGCTTGTTGCTGAGCATCCGACCAGGACCATGGCTTACAGTGTGTGGAAGAGCTGGAGGATGGTGGTATTGCTGTATTTTTTGCTGGTGTGCATTTCGGATGGGAATGCCGGGTTATCTCCAGAGAAAGGAGCAGCAGCACCTTCCTGCTATGGAGGGTTTGACCTCTACTTTGTACTGGACAAGTGAGTGATCCATTTCTTCTTCATTGTACTGTCTTGCTGCACTAATTTGAAGACAGTTGTGCACCAAAAGTAAGGTTCAGATGAAGGCTGATGCAACGTCAGCAGTTTTAGCAGATGTGTGCTGGAAAGAAGTGAAGTATATCTATTAGCAGGTGGTTGGTCCCTCTTGATTTAACTCAATTTGAGATATCACCTCCAGTTCACAGCTATCAGTGAAGGTACTGATCAGGATGATGATAGTAACTTCAGAGCTAACTGGAGGTTCATCTTTGGTGGTTGAGATCAGCAATGATGAGGATGATGAGCAATGATGAGCTTTTTTGCAAACAATGGTTAATTTTCTAAAGCCATTCACTTCCGTTTGGGTAGATGGGAGGAATAGAGATGGTATGATGGGAGCAGTAGAGTGAATACTGTAGCAGGTGAATTGTTCTCCATCGGGTTTTGGGTTTCATATCCAGCTCACAGCAATCACTGAAGGTGTTCATCAAGATGGTGATGATTGCCATAATATTCATGGTAATAATGAAGAACACTGAGATCAGAGCAGATTTCATTCCAAAGATTTTCAACAATTTAAATTTTTGACCTCTAAGTTAACTTTTGGTGCTTGACCTCAGCAAAGATTAGCGGCCTTTTGCAAATGGAGGTTTAGGCTGGGGTCAACTATCTTTGGTAGCTGAGATCTGCAATGATAAGGAGCTTTTCGTAAGCAGAGGTTGATTTTCTAAAGCCATTCACATTGGCAGTTTAGGTAGATGTTTGATAGGAGGAAGCCAAAGTGATTGACCCCCAAGTTCACTTTTGGTGATTTACCTCAGGCAAGATTAGTGGCCTTTTCCAAATAAAGATTGAGGTTAGGGTCAGTATTGATGTTCCAAAGAAGCCATGGTCACATAGTCAGATGACTGACCCACAAGTTCACTTCTGGTGATTGATCTTAACAAAGATTTGGGGCTTTTTGCAAATGGAAGTTGAGGATGGGGTCGGCATTGATGTTCCAAAGAAGCCTCAGTCATTCTGCATAGTCAGGTGATTGACCCCCAAGTTCACTTTTGGTGATTGACCTCAGCAAAGATTGGGGGCCTTTTGCAAATGGATTTTGAGGTTGGGGTCGGCATTCATGTTCTAAAGAAGCCACAGCCATTTTGGATAGTCAGGGATTCAAGGTTCAAGAAGGTTACCTGGCAACCAGGGCTTTACGAAGATGTGCGCCAGTTTTGAGGACTGAAAAACATCATTTGAGCATCAAACTGAGGTACCAGTTTCTGCACACTTGCTGTTTTGACGGAGAAGCAGTGAAGTGAAAAATGTGCTCACTTATTATTAAGTGCTCTTCGTCCAGTTCCATTGTGAATGTCATTGGCCGCATGAATCTTGGCATAAGCAAGTCCCTTCAGCGGCAGCTCCTCCCTCTTTTATTACCCTTACTTCATCGAAAATGATGACGCATTTTCTGGGTCATTGCGGTCATTGCCTTTCAGCGCCTCCTATGGTTAGTTCTCTGTGTGCCCCTGTTGAACTGCCGTTGTTATGCGCTGTGTTTGTCTTTGAAGGACATTTAGACCCTAATGGATGTAGTTTTTAGGTAAAGTGGTTGCTTCTAATGATTCTTGTGGCAGCTTTAGTGTCCTGCAGCACTGTTTTCTGGTACTTACTTCACAAGAACAGTACAGTTACTAGAAAACAGTGTATCAGAACTGGGTCAATGGTACTCATAGAGAATCAGTTACATATGCTTCTTTGAAACTCATCAAAACAGAGTGTTTACTTGGGCTATGTTGTCTTTGGATACAAACACATGGACTGTAATACTTTTCCACACATAATATCAATGTCTACCAAAGCACTGTTTGCTAGAATCTCTTTAAAAGAAAATCAGGAGTGATTTTCTAATGTGTGGACATATTTAAATATAAAAACAGCTTTGTATCCCAGGCTGTGTACATTTTTCACCAGTGGCACATTTCTACAATTCTACTTATAAATGATTGTACTGGTGGTTAGGGTTGCTGATATAACCTAACATAGGCCAGACATGGCAGTGTGGATATTATTGTAACACATTCTGTCCCAAATATTAGTAGCCTATTAGATGATTATTTGAGGTTTTATTATTTTTTTATGGTAGGTTAACATCCTGATTTTTTGGCCTGATTGTGTAATTGCGTACAACTAATGTGTCTTGCTGCTTTGGCACAGAGCAGCAAAAGGACTCTCTGTAAGCCAGGGCCCGAGACAGTCCGAATTAATGGACAGACAAATGGAAAAGCATCTGGTCCTGGTTCCAGAAGCTTCTTGCTAGCAGTACTTGCAAGCAGTTCTCATTGCATTCATTATCAACTGCTTATGTCTGACTCAGAGAGTCAAAGCGCACACAAAGAACATCCGTTTATGTCATTTAGGTGAAGAAAGGTCACTTGGGTTTGTCTGTCCTTATTTATCCCAGTGGGCCCAATAAGCAAAGGTCCTTTTATCTATGCAGTGCCGACCATGTTTACAGAAATCTCTCAGTCTTGGCAGCTAAATATTATGTAACACACCTTATATTGTATTGGGCTTAAGTTAACATCTCACAACATGCAAATTCAAATCTTTTATCAATCTGTTGTAATGTTTCAGCCTCCAAAATCACTTGGGACAACAGAATGCTGTCATATCTGTGCTCTTAAGAGTAAATTCAGTGGTCCATGGGAATAAACACAGTAACAGCACTTACATAACATCTCTCTACTCACTACTCCAGTTTGAGGTTTGTGGGTTTAAGGCCTGAGCCAGTTCATGTGGTCACTAGAGCCTGAGAAGACCATGCACAGTGACCTGAATTCATTCATATGACTTACGTCTTCTCCAGACATGGAGCGAGCTGATTGAAATCGCAAATGCTGAACCAATGTAATTTGCTAAGTGCAGAAAATAGTGGCACTACAACTTCACGGTGGTCATACATCTGATACTCTACAGCTGTGTTAGTTAGTCACTATGTTTAGTTACATTAGATGTACAGTACAGTCTGTGACCAGCATTCATTTATTTCCTTTATGGTCAAAATAGCCATCAATTATAAGGTATTCATTTTTAAATTTCAAGAAAAAAGCACAAAAAAAACATATGTTTAACAGAAAATTACACAGGCGTCAACACCTGCATATAATATTTTAATATAATCATTTTTCAGTATTTAGTATGTTCACACTTTGCCTTTATAACAGCCATTCTTTTCAGGAGACTCACTTTCAGTTCAAGAAATCTGCAGCGATTTTTTTCACATCTTCAAAGTTCAAAGTCTTAGAAGTTGGTTGCATTTTCTGCTTTTTACAATCCAAATAATCCCCATTCAGTGATGATGGGGTCTGGACTCAGGGTGGTCAGTCTATGGTTCTGAGAACATCAGCAGCTTCTTTGCTTTGCAAATGTTCTTCTTTCCTTTTCTCAGTGAGGTTCTTCTTGACAGCTACACATCCTTTTAGACTCAGCGCTGAGTCGTCTTCTCACAGTGGAAGGATGGCTGTGGATGTTTTCAGATCTGAATCAGCTTGATTTTCTCCTCCCTCTCAAAGATGAAAGCTTTAAGTGCTGTTCATCAGATGGGGGCAGCTTTGGTGTCTACCAGGTCTTGATTCTTATGCAAATGGTTAGTCTCATATCAGATCTCCTCAGAAATATCTCCTAAAAAAATGGCTGTTTTGACTGGAAATTACATAAATAAAGGCTGATCTCTGACCAGATCAAGGATTCATCTTCCACATATAGGAACGCCAAATAGTGACAGCCTTATAGTGTATTTATATTTATTTGGTTATTATTTGTATTCTTGTTATGATTCTGAAGTTGTCATTTAATGAGCTGCTATCATTAAGAGTCTAAGTGGCTATATGATTGTTGCTATTGAGTGTTTGTACGGCATCTGCTCAGAATATTTAATGAGCTCTGATTGTGTCCTTTGTTAAAAAACAATAAAAACAGCAACATATGCTACACTGATTGATCTTTTATCCCTTTCATGGAGTCGCATGTGTGCCCATTTTATGCAGTGTAATATACAGTAAACATAAAAATAATTGAATAAAACATTCTTTAATCTGTTACCAATTTACGCCATCTGTGATATTTCAATACTTCAAGTCTTTATTGTAAAGTGGCTATGAGTATGTGAAAGGCGCTAGAGAAACTAAACCTGTTATTATTATTACTATAAATAAACTTTATAATAATAATAATAATAATAATAGTATGTAAATGTACTGACATTAACCCCTGAAAATCCCAAGCTTATTACCTTTTATTACAGTCATATTATTCAGTAACTACAGGGACTTCAATGTGAACTGGTCGAGCTATTCTTAGGTTATAGATGGGAATTCAAAAGTTCTTTAGTAAAGAAAATGGTTCTATATCTAACCATGAACACTCAACGAACCCTCTGCATGATTAAAAGGTTCTTTGCATTGTAAAGGGGTTCTTCAGATTGATGGAGAATGTGCTGTGCTATACAGAACCTTTTTGAAAATGGTTCTATACAGCACCCAAAGGAGTTCTTCTATTGTTATGGTGTCAAGCTTGTAACAACAGAAGAACCCTTTGGGTGGTTTATGGAACTCTTTTTCAAAAAGATTCTATATAGAACCATCTACAGCACATTCTCCATCAATCTGAAGAACCTTTCATGATGCAAAGAACCCTTTAATCATGCAAAGGGTTCTTTGAGTGTTCATGGTTCTATAAAGAACCATTTTCTTTACTAAAGAACACTTGAAGCACCATCTTTGTTAAGGGTGTGTGTAATAAGACTTTGGCCCCACGGTGAGCCTTGGTTAAGGTATGAAGTAATGTTCTATTCCCTGGTAATAAATGCATTAGTGACAAAACTAAGGTATTTATAAGCTAATGTTCAGCATGTAGCTAATAGTTTGACCAAAACAATTACTTAAATATGTGTGCTGGAACCTGCACACATACCATTTAAGCTACAACAAATAGCATTTTCAGATGCTTGCTAG